TCTCTCTCTCTCTCTCTCTCTCTCTCTCTCTCTCTCTCTCTCTCTCCACAGAGAATTAGTAGGATTTGGGACTACAGAATGTGGGGAGGGGGATCTTCAGCTACTTTGCCTTCTGACATCAATGATTTGATTTGTCCCTGACAGCAGAGGCCACAGAAGGAGCACCCCCTCCTGCTACCCTGGAAGTAGGCACTTTGGGAAGGTGGTTCTAATTCCTAGGCTTAATTTAGCTGTCCCCTGCCCCCACCCCAGCCCTCATTCCTTCTTGCTCCGGGCTCTGACCTATTTAAATTCTTGGGAAGGGGGCTGGGGTGGGTGGGAGGAAACCACTCCTCTTAACTTCCAGGTTTTGGGGGCCTCCTGGGGGTCCCTTGAGTTCTAGATCTTTCTTTCCCCCTTAGTTTTGGGAAACACGATTGAATATGTCTGCTGTGGTCTCCGAGGGTCTGTGGATGGTGCCTCCCTTTCTTTCCGTCTCTTTGGGACATCTCTGAGCTTCTGTCTTACTCTCCATCTCTATCGCGTGTCTCTGGCTCTGTCTTTTGCTCCTTGGCTTCAGGCCCTGTTGTGAGTTTTGCTGTCTCTCTGGCACTGTCTCTGCCGGAATCTCTGATCCCCTGCTGGGGGCAGGGATGCGAATTGGAACAACAGGTGTCTTTCCCAGAATAACCAGTCCTCTTTGCTGGGCTTTGGGCAAGGGACAAGGAGGCAATAAGGCAGGGGAGGGGCTGCCCACCTCCCAGTCCTTCCCATTGTCCCCTCCCAGTAGCTCAGGCCGGTGGGGGTGTGAGTTTGGGGAAGTGAGGGTGTGGGGAGATATTCTCTCCTCCAGGCCAGGTCTGCTGACCCTGCACTGTCCCTCCTCTGCCCTGCCTGGCCCTGAGTCCATGCAGGAAATGCTGACACAGCATTCCGGACCCAGAATAGGACCCTGGTGAGCAGGGTCCGGTTTCCTTGGAAGGAGGAACAAACAGCTGGGGCTGATAGTGAAGGAAGGGGACAGCTGGATGTGAGGCCACCAGAGAGACTCTTGCCCAGCCCTGGCCTCTTTGAAGACATCATGGGTCAGGCCTTCTGCAGCCTTAATAGGACCATGGCTGTGGCCACCAACCTCTGAGCAGTCACTCCACACCAGGCGCTGTGCCCAGGGCCTCAGCCTGCTGAAGCATCTAATTATATTCACGCTGCCCTATCTTCTGAGGTAGGGCCCTATCTTTATCTCCCTGGGAGATCTGAAAGAAACCAAGCCTTAAGCAATAGAATCACTCATCCAAGCCAGGAAATGGCCTTTCTGTCGCGCACAGTCCTCCTACCAGATTCACAAAGGCAGCCAGTGTTAGAGTTCCTGAGGCCTGGCCCCAGCAGTTCTTGGCCCCTGACAGGTTCAGTTTTTTTGGATGTTACTGACGTGATGAACTTTTCCTTAAACTTTTTAATCCTAAAACTTTTTAATGCCCCACCAATGAGAAACACATTATATAGTGCAATCTAGGACATGCACATATGCATAGACATTATAAAAAGATGGACTTCAAAAAAATAAAAGATGAACTCCACTGAGGTTTGATTCACATGCAATGAATTATATTTGTGTTAAGTGTTATATGTAGTTCGAGTTTTTTTTTAATCTTTCCTTTGTTTTTATTATTATTATTTTTTTAATTTTTGTACCTAACATGAGACTTTTTTTTTAAATTTTATTTATTTATTTATTTATTTGTGTGGGGGGGCCAGCTCAGCCCACCAGGGGGCGGGGCTGGCTGGCATGTGGTGCTGGGGGATTGAACTGCAGTCCCTGTGCTTTGCTAAGCTTGTTCTAAGTAGGTGCTTTAGACCACTGAGCCATCTCACCAGCCCCTCTTTTTTTTTATGATCAGCTCAGCCCACCCTGGGGGCAAGGCTGGCATGGCATGTGGTGCTGGGGATCGAACCGAGGTCCCTGCATGCTTGCCTAAGCTTGCCTAAGCAGGTGCTTTAGACCACTGAGCTATCTTGCCAGCCCAGTTCAATGAGTTTTGATAAATTGTGCACTCATGTAACTACCCTCCTAATCAGGGCAAGGAACATTTCCTTTACCATAGAAGATCTCTCCTGCTCTCCACAGCAACCACCTTGCCTACCTGCTTTCCGTCACTAGAGATTCCATTGGTCACTTTTAGAGTTTCATATACATTATGTGTTTATTTATCTTTCTCCTTTTGCTTAGCTTTAAACTTTTTTTCCTTTTTAAAAAATTATTATTTTTTTTGTTAAATTTTTTTTTCTTAATTTTTATTTTTTGGGTACTGGCAGTTAAGCCCAGAACCTTGACATTCAGACTTTTTCTTTAAGTTTTGATACAGTGTCTGTTTTTTTAAGAATGGGTCTTACTATGTAGTGCAGGCTGACCTGAAACTCATGAAGTCACGGCAATTCTCCTGCCTCAGCCTCCCCAAGTGTTAGGATTATATGCATGTGCCACCATGCCTGGCTTGATACAGGGTCTTAAGTTGATACAGTCATTAGGTTGTCCCAAAGTTGGGCTGAAACCTATAATCCTCTTGCCTTAGCCTCCCACAGTGCTCAGCATAGTATTATTGACATTCATGTAGCATGAAAGTATTCTTTGTTGCTCAGTAGATACCTGTTGTGTAACTATATTGCAGTTTGCTCATCAATTCATTCGCTGATGGGCATCTAGGTTGTCTCCAACTTTTGCTATTATGGACAACCCTGTGGACATTCACACATACTTTCTTTTTTTTTTTTTTTTTCCAGAACTGGGTATTGAACTCAGGCCTCTTGCTTGCCAGACAAGTGCTTATTCTACTGAGCCATATCCCCAGCCCCACATACTTTTTTAAAAATAT